ATTGAATTGAATTGAATTATATTCCTAAATCTATGTTAAATCACGTGACAATGCAGTGTTTGTGCACATTGCAGGTGGACAGGTTGGTGAAAGGACAAGTGTGTGAGATTTAGTGACATCCTGTGGTTTAGTTGCAACCATTTGAATACAGCTCACCCTTTCAAGCGTGCAGGAGAAGCTACGGTGGTCCAATCTAGATCTGTTTGAGTTTTGTCCATTCTGGGCTACTGTAGAAACATGGTGGTTGAACATGGCAGATTCTGTGGAAGAGGACCTGCTCCCTAGATAAAATCAGCTCATTCTTGGGTAACAAAAAACAACTATTCTTATTTTTCAGGTGATTGCAACACTGTGTATTTCTGCCAATAGATCCTCTTACACACTGAAACCTTCACAGGGCCCAGCAGAGGCAGGAAGAACCTCGCTTCTGACTGCAAGCGCAGTGCGTTTGAAGGAAACCCAACCAGAAATACCTCCTCTATTGATCCGCCATACAGCTTGATACAGAACTCAAACATGCTGACAAACTAACTTTCATTTTACACTACTTTATACTTGCACTGCACTAGAATTCATAGGTAAATATTACACTTTTTATTGCATTACTTTTATCTATTAATGTATATTTTGCCATTAATTATTATCAGGTTGAAAGTTTGAATGCAGAACTGTTACTTACATTGTGGTATTGCTACTTTTACCTATGTAAAGGATCTGAATGCTTCTACCATCCAGCGCTTTAAAGCTATTTTGTTGTTGATTTTAGCTTCGGTCAAATAAGTAGAATTAAAAAAACTGCATACAAAAGTAATACCTTTAACAGTACACTACCTGTTATTTCAGGTTAACAACCACATGTTTGACATGTGTTTCCGCTACCCACCACCTTCACTTCCTGTGCAAACTGAGATAGCGGTCTCTGATACAATTTTTTTTATTGTTGCTCTTTTCCTGTACTAAGCACATTTGGGGCCTTTTTTTTTCTGGTTTTGAAATAGTTGCTTTAATCACTGGCTTGTGTGATCAAGTTCTGTCATGGAGGACCAGAGCAGACATAATACGTGTTACCAACTACATCTGGTGCCTATTAACATGGTACAGGCCTAACCTTTAACCCCACTGACTCACAGGTGGGTCTGTCAGTGCAGACCTTTCTACTGGAGATCCAAAAATTTGCAAAGATACCAAATATATCAGTCCAAAGCTATTATCTAGTCTATATTATATCTAGAATATTTCCATTTGATGGGATGTTGATGCCATATAATACATGGAGTCTTAGTCATATAGAGCTGGAACAAGCTGATACAGAATACCTAATGTATACTGTGTAATACTGTAAGAAAATGTGCAGTAAGATGAATTTAACAACCTTTAAAGCTACTTTATTTCGCAAGTAAAATAAAATCCATTATCCAAAATATATTAAAGTATATTAAAATATCCCTTTTAAATTCAACATGGTAAAATAAATTGAAGATGTAGATAAGCAAAGACATGTTGTAATTCATGTTCCAAATGTTTGTAATTCTGTTCCAAACTAGACACACATATGTTGACTCAAAGACTATTTTCTCTTCAGAGTAAAGCAGCGAAGGGACTCAGAGCTGACGGTCAACCTCCCACATTTAGCCTCTGTAATCACTGTAAAATGTGTGATGAGACTGGAGCAGCTGATGCTGCCGGCAGGCCAGATGACACATGCACTCACCATCTCCATTACAACTTTCTTTACATCACTGCACAATCATCCTGCCGCATACCTCCAATAATCCGTTCAGGGAGAGTTTAATGAGTGCTTTTTCTTCACTATCAGTTTCACAGACATTCATAACAGAGACAAAAACCCAACAACCACAACCACAGGCTTCTGATGACCGCTGCTTTCTTTAAGGACACATCAGAGGGAAATGCTACGACACAGACAGTGTTTGCTGTGTACTTTCTACTTTGTACTTTCTATTTTCACATTATGGTCGGAAGTAGGTCTACATCTTTATAAACAAATGTATCTCTGATTGTATCTAATGCGTATCATAGCCATATAAACCCTTTAAGGGACAAAAATGAGCTTCAGCCTTCTATTTACCATCTGTTTGTTTTACTTTTGTTTAATGCAAATGTATTTAAAGGAATATGTACTGTGTACGTTTTAACACAGAGGCTCTACAAGACAAGTAGACCATGCCTTATAGGAACCACTTGCTTTAGATACACAGTGAATAGTGCCCAGTTGATAATCCAGCCTTAATGCTACAAAATATTGGTTGTGGAAAGGAAGTGTTGTTTGTTTATGCACATTTACAACTGAGGCATGGTACTGTGATTGCATTACTTTGTGTAACATATCTAATGCTTTAAATGATTAATAGCACAAATTATAAGAGTTGTTCTTCAAGTGCTGCTTCATAAACTACCACATTTAACCTGACTCCATAGATTGAGAAACATGCCTGCTTCAGGACGGTTGATAAGTCATTGCTGCAGTCTAACGGCAACACAGACATGAGACAGCATATAAGTGCAACTGTAGACGCTAAAGCCAGCAGAGTATGGGAAGGTGGTACAGAAACCAACTTCTGGGCAGGAAACCTCACCTTAAACGAAACCACATGACTGAAGTTCACATGAGATCAGACTGAGTTGAGCTGAGCTGAATGTTTAGCCCATAAAACATATTCTCTGAGCTGAGGCAGACATGTTTTATGAGAAATAATCCACTTAGTTTGTGTCTTGGATTCATTCTGCTGTTTTACGTGGTTTCAAGAGGCAATTCTGCCACTCTGTGGTCAAAGCGTGATATGGCATACAGACAGTGATTATGATATGAATGCCAAACCAACCTTTAAGACCTGAGTCTAAGGTTTTGTTCATGTCAGAGGATTTCAACCTTTCCTCTTTATCCTTAGTTGTGTCCCTGTCCCAGACTTCATAATTCTATAAGTATGTAGTGAGCTCACCCTTTCAAAGTACACTCAATAAGTATATATGCAGACTTTTTGATATACTTTATAGACCCATAATGCATTGCACAAAGCTACCAGAGGAGGAATTGTGAATAGTGAGAAACATTTTTGCAAACACAGTTGGCACCACAAGATCCATTCCTAGCTGTTCTGGAGCTTTCGACACAGTCTTCACCCGGCACATCGAGGTTTTCCCAGCTGTCGTGGAATTGGCCTTAAAAACAGCAGCTGACAAACAGTCTCATTACAAGGTCTGTACTTAAACCGAATCTTTTAAGGATCAGGCAGAAGGAAATTGAGTCTTCTAAATTTCAAAGCACCATGTTTTCCCTCGTACTTTTTAGTGGTATGCAGTAGTTTTGGGTTTTATTTTCCCAGGGTTTTGAGAGGCCTATGTGCGAGATATCGGCTTCCAACCCAAAATGATAGAGATGACACATCATTGATAAATCACATTATATTATAATATATAATATTTAAATGTCCTCATTTCTCAGAGTCAGTCAAATAACATGCTACATTCAATGGGTTTCTTCAATAAACTGTATGAAATCTAACAAAAATCAAGTATCTGTTACTAGATACCAGTGGAGGGTTGTACTTTGGACAAACTTTAAAACAAACCATTCTTTCTGATATAGGAAAGAAACAGTAAAGCAGCTTTTACTTAAAACATTTATTTGATCCAATTCTTTGGAATGTAATAGTTAATGATCAGAGTCTGAGACAACAGAGACGGATGAATCTGGGTGCTGACCAGAAAGTCAAAGTACAAACAATACTTTTAGTCACTTAAGGCCTCACTGCTTTTCCATTTTTTTACTTCCTTATTTCCTTTCTTGTTTTTTTTCTGGATCTGAGACAGCAAAAACTACAGAAGCAGTATTGAAAATAAAACACTTTTTTTTCTTGTCATACAAAGAAAAATAAAAAATAAAACAATGGCACGTACATCAGTGACAAAAACACAAGGTGATATTATACCAAGTAAATAAAATTGTTACGTTTTCAAAGAGACGCATATAAGCTTTTTCGAGAATGAAAAACATCTCTGTAAGTTGTACTTTTCAGAATTATAACATTGTCATCTGAAATCGTGTTAAAAAGAAGCAACAATAACACTCTTCTCCTTCCTTCTTTCTGTCTTTTTATAAATCAATATCATAAACACAGATTTTTTTTTTTAAATATATCAGTGCAACATTTGTTTCACATCTAGTGCTGCAGCATCCTTTCTTGTTTAAAGGGGAAGGATGGACGTCCGACTGAAACATCAGAAGCACATTCTGTCAGATTGAAATTACATTTTGTGACACCCATAATCTCGTCTGCTTCGTTTGCTGTAAACATATTGATATTTTCCAGAAAAAAACAGAGACCGTTGGACCAGTGTGATTTTCAAGAGCTAATAATCTCAACAGTCAGAGCACCTTAATTGGATTGGAAATGTTCAGTCAGCCTTTGCTGAAACAATGATTTGATTTAAACAGATCCAGAGGAGGTTGATTTCCTTTACAACAAAAAACGGGGAAACTTGATGTCTCTAAAGCCTCATCTTAAAAGGAATCAATTGATGCTATATTGACTACTGACAAACAGTCTCACTTCACATTTGGAGCTCACACAATGCCACATAATGCTACATTAAAAATGGGCAAATTTAACTTCCACAGTGCACTGCAACAGGAATCACACTGGAACAAACATTGTAGTTCTTCCAGTTGCCAGTGGCAATATGTCAAGCTATCACACCTGCTTTTTTCCAATGGCTTGTGAATCTTTGTAAGTTACGTATCTGTCTTGCCCAGCATAAAAGAACTTGTTAATTATCACAGAGTGAACTAAAACATCTGCTGGAGGTTGTTCACTGATACCAATGAGCTAGTGATCGGTGACATTTCTGGTTTTCAAGGCTCAATCCTCCCACCTATACAGTGCTATGAACAAGTGACCAGTATCACAACACATTTAGCTAAAAAAGCTAAAACACAACAAAGCAGTATTATTAGTACAGTATTTATAAGGCTTGTCGTTTTCAGTCAATTCTTTCACTAAAAAATACCCAGGTTTTTAAAAAAAAAATTGGATTTTAATCCAGGATCTCATGTCCTCACAGAGTGGGACAGAGTTGTTAAGAGGGCACTGATCACTGTAGATTGCAGAATATATGAGCCTTTTGTGATGTTGACAGTTAAGATAATGCTCCTGCAAAGAGAGAGTGATGACTAAAACGGGGATAAAATACAAATTGAGCTGCTGCAGAAACCCACGGAAAAAGCGAAGAAACATAAACAACGGAGTGCTGTCCGGGCAAATTTTTAAATCCAATTTTCAGATGTTTAAAAATAAACAAGAAGAAAATAATGAGCCCTATGGGTTTATGGGTCACTTTTGTTGGGTCTCTGCTCTGATTAGCGTGTAAAACTCATCTTTGTATGAAAATGCGACTTAATTGTGTGTGTTATTCCCAGACTACTCGCTCAGATCATTTAGTAACCTGTTGGGGTCATTTTTTGCTCCATTCAAATATTTCTCCTTTGATAGTCAACACAGGAAAATACACTGACAGAGAGAACAGCATTGTCATGGCATACATTAGTTCTTGCTTTATCAATCAAGACATTCAGAGCCTCCACATGCTGTCAGCTCAATAAAAGACGCTGATGGACCCGATGAGAGACACTCAAGAGTCTTTCTGATGGACTGCTGGACACACTTCTGGTTTAATGTCTCACAGTCATTGTGTTAGCAGTAATATGAAGTATCTCAATCCTGATGGTCCATCCTTGACGTGCTGTCGTCATCTTAGCGGTACTGAGGTGGTCTGTTTTACCCTGTACAAAAACATTGCTTCCCCATGAGGCATTTCTCCACAATCTCAAAGCCATTTCCATCGTTCTTCCCAGAGCACAAACAGAAACCAGGCGACAACAAAACTGACAAAATGGCGACCAGCTCACACATGTAAAGGAAACACAAACAACACGATTTGTGCCTCTGTCTGTTAAAACTGATATTTTCTGTACATTTTCTGAATTTTGGAGTTTAGGGCGAGTTTGATTCCAACACAGAAAGGATACTGCGGCACTGGTGTCTTTTTCTATAGAAAAGAGCGCTCAAATATATTAAAACCTATGTACAATATGTTGGATGTGTCATGTGCCATGAAAATGAGGCATTCAGGGCTCCTACACATTCTCCATTCTGAAATCTCAAAGCTTTCCTAAACCTAAATGTTAACTGTTTCACTTGGACTTTAACATTTTAAATCAGTGTGACTGTCATCAAGGCAAGAAGATCTTCAGATCTACACCAGCACGTGTGATATTTGACAGTACTCTACAAGACTAAAGATTTGCAGTCGTATAAAATTTGTTTTCCGGATCTGTCCACGTGTCTGTGTAGGAACCCTAGACGGAATGCCAGCCGATGAGAAAAACAACCAGCAGAAAACAAGGCAACAGAAAAGTTGGAGGAAAAGAAAAAGGCACTGTCGGAACTAGACACAGGTCACAATGGTACCCGCCTTCACACATAAACATACACACACACA